CCCAATAAAAATAGGAGGCTTCCCTCCCCTAACCCTGACCCCTCACATCCATTTGGGATTTGAATCATGTGACCGGTTCATAATGACACTGAGCTAAACGGCCCTCAGCTCCAGAGCTAATAAACACTCAACCGGTTGTTTTTCGGTTAATTTAGAGCCAAAAGGAGTGGAAATCCTTCTTTTTCAGACACTCTTCTCATTAATTCATATTAAAAAGTCCTCTAATTTGAGATCATATGTCAAATAAAGACTTAAACTAATGTGATATGTTGGGAGGAGTGAGCAAATATTAGGTTTCATTCAGCAAAATTGGCCATTTAATCCAACAAGCATTTAAATTAGGGATTCAAATGAACCAGATAAAGTTGATTTAATTCACTTTAAAAACTCTGAATATGATGAGAAAAAGAAAAGAAAAGTGAAATAAAACGCTGATAATAAACATGAAGTTGAAGTTTTTTTTTCGAGGGGGGCTCGATTTCTGAACAAATCAACCTGAAATGAGACAGATTTGCTTTTTTGTAACCTAGCAATAATATAGCTTTTCCCCAGGAGAACACAAAGAAGAAGACAATCAAACATATGACACACAGAGGAGAGAAAGACACCTGAAACAAGGGGATGTACCTTTCAAAATAAAACAGGAAATGACAAGACAACCATGGAGACGGGACAAAAAAACACCAAAAATCCCCCAGACGTGACATTATATCCCTCAATTAACCTTTATTTTCCTCATTCAAGACAATGAATATCTCAAACTGCAGCACTCTCACAAAGTGGAAACAAAGTACAAAACAAGGTGGAAAAAATATTAACAAAATATGAAATCAAAATCACTCTTAAAGGGCAGAAACAAGACTGTGTTAGACTATTTAAACTCAAGGGAAGGGAACCCCACGGGACCATAATCAGGGATCAGGAAGACTAGCAGACATGTGACACACAGGGGAGTAAAAGAGACCTGAAACAAGGGGATGTACCTTTCAAAATAAAACAGGAAATGACATAACAACCATGGAGACAGGACAAAAACACCAAAAATTCCCCAGACATGACAGTTTTCTCACCTTTTTCCTGGACTGTGTCGCATTTAATGCTGAAAACTAGTGTAATGAAGGCATACTGCGAAAAACAAAGATGAACAAGAAGTTTCAAATGTAATAACTGGAGTGCTCTGAAAGTACTTTTCAAAATAAAACAGGAAGTGACATGACAACCATGGAGACAGGACAAAAACACCAGAAAATCCAAGTCGGGCGTTCCAAGATGTGTCGAATCTTTTAATTTCCAAGAGAATCTCAAAGAGAAATAGCCTCACTTCTGTTTTTTTTTAGTGTTTGCATCCGTTTTTCAGATATCTTCTGAATTCAGACAGACTCAGTTTTGCGTTAAAGCCTCTGAAATGCGGACCGATAACGTCTAACTGGATGAAAAATGGCGGCAAACGTGTGGACGCAGAAGTACGAGACTCAAGTGCGCTAATATAAATGAGCTGTGTTCCAGCTAGGCCCATTAACCTCGTTTCAACTTTTGTCCACGTACAGTAAAACGAAACGGCAACACGCACACAAACACACACACAGAAACACACTCAAACACACACAAAAACACACAGAAACACACTCAAACACACACAGAAACACACTCAAACACACACAAAAACATACAGAAACACACTCAAACACACACAAAAACAAACAGAAACACACACAGACAAACACACACAGAGGCTCGGGGTAATGGGCTTTGTGGTGAGCCGCTCCGATAGTGATGAATGAGAGTATTAACAGTGTCTAATTAGCAGCTAGCCACAATAATATGCTGTGTTCAGGGGAGTGAAACAGAGAGGTCGAGCTCACGGGGCCAAAAAGCTGCTGCTGCTATTTACCTCCTCCTCTTATTTATGTTGTTTATGTTTTACAACGTGGTAATTGGAGTAACTTATCTCATTAAGTCTTAATAAGGTCGGCTCAAATGGAAATACATGACCTTTTTAGCATCATAGATCTTACGGGGAGTCGGGATTTAAACCCGATGCGCTTTTCTGTTTTCATGAATCATGTCTATTTTTCTGTTTCACTTTCTTCTATTCGTGACTTGTTTTTGGATCAACTTTTAAAAAGTCCTTAAGCCACTCTTGCCTGGTCAGTAAAAAGCTCCCATTTCTTGTGTTTGCTTTATTCTGGACTTAATTAACAAAAAAATGAAAAAATAACACTTTTGGCCATTTTCTTGAGAAAAAACAACAAAAATCTTGCGGTTCTGGTCAGACAACTCCAGTTTGGCCTGGATCTGAATTAGAAAAAAATAAATAAATAACACTTTACTCAAAACTCAATCAAATTTATAACCTTTATACCCACATTTGGCCATTTAACAAAAATCTCTCGGTTCTGGTCAGACAACTCCACTTTGGCCTTGATCTTAATTAACAAAAATAAATAAATAAAATAACACGAAAAAAAAAGAGCCACAAACATGTGTAAAAAAGGCAGATTTCCCCTAATTTTCCACACTACTTTTTTAGGAATAAAACACTCGAATGGGAGATCTGGAGCTGGACCTAAAGGCTCTAGATGAGGAAGTTTAAATCTTCCCTGCGAGTGAGTGTGAGTGTGCACGTGCGCGTGTACGTGCACGTCGTCTCTTATCGGAGAGCTTTCCAGCCTCATAAGAGGTCAGTTTCACAGAAAAGGTTATCCTTCTTAAAAGATAAACCCTCCGTATTCAAAAGACTACATTTAGCCTCCGACCGCAAACCGACTCAGGACTTAACGCGTGTTGGTTTGAGGGTTTGGGTCAGGACAGAATATCCCACCCAAGTTTATGTTTATGTTTATGTTTATGTTTATGCATTTGGCAGACGCTTTTATCCAAAGAGACTTACAGAATAGACCCAATATTCCATTTCACATCACTATGACAATAAACTATCCAGAGGAGAAACACTGGTCAGAGTCAGTGGTGAGATAGAGATAGAGGTAGAGATAGAGGTAGAGATAGAGGTAGAGATAGAGGTAGAGGTAGAGGTAGAGATAGAGATAGAGATAGAGATAGAGGTAGAGATAGAGATAGAGGTAGAGATAGAAGTAGAGGTAGAGATAGAGATAGAGATAGAGATAGAGGTAGAGATAGAGATAGAGATAGAGGTAGAGGTAGAGATAGAGATAGAGATAGAGATAGAGATAGAGGTAGAGATAGAGGTAGAGGTAGAGGTAGAGATAGAGATAGAGATAGAGATAGAGGTAGAGATAGAGGTAGAGGTAGAGATAGAGATAGAGATAGAGATAGAGGTAGAGATAGAGGTAGAGGTAGAGGTAGAGATAGAGATAGAGATAGAGGTAGAGATAGAGATAGAGGTAGAGATAGAAGTAGAGGTAGAGATAGAGATAGAGATAGAGATAGAGGTAGAGATAGAGATAGAG